ACCGTTAGACATTTTTGAACTGTCATACGCCATTCATTTTCTATAAATTGATTTGTTTTAGTCCATTTCTCCTTGCGGAACACTAAAACCTTTCAAGAAAGGGGAGGTGCACAGGGACAGGCCAGGGTTATATCCGAGCCTTACTTCTCACTGTGAAGTTAGGGCTCCTTCGGAGAGAGCCATGGACCTCATACCTGCGAGGTAAAGAACAGCAAGCAGGAGTCCTCACCAGACAGACACCCACTGCAAACCAGCGATGATGGCCCTGAAGTCCCCCAAAAGGGACAAGTGCTCCATGACTTGCTTTGCTGTCAAAATATTTAGAAGCAGCATATCTAAGTCACGGACGGAACAATGGAACTAGCTCAGAAGTAAACGTTCACGCTGCCGAAAAAGGCCAAACCATAAACATTTAGTCTAAACTGTAGCTGCCTCTCCTTTGGGGCCAAGAGGGCTTGAAAGAAAAGCAGAGTTCTATAAAATGCGATATGCCCGGATTTTCTTACACCGTGGCAAGGTAATTAAGATGTCGCTTATTAGGCCTTTAAAGGCTCATCCCTGGAAGAAGTGGCGGAGGCTCCTGGCATTCTTCTCAACGAGCTTTGCCGAATAAATGTAGTAAATGATTTCTGAAACAAGGAAGGAAAAGGAAGGAGGAGCCCCTCACTTGGTCTACCCCCTCCCTGCTTCCTCCAGGCACTTCAAGGGCCCTTCTCTTAGCTTTTTGGGGATTAGCTGTGTGGGTTTAATCAAGCTTTACTTAACTAGTTAACATGGGTAAGCTTTCATGGGAGGAAAGAAATTGTAGTGTTCCTGATTGATTTTGTAGGCAGAGGACAAAAAAAGGCCTATGTATTGGGCTACGCTCTTCAATTCTTTCTGAAATGTATGAAGAAATTGATTTCTAACTTACAAGTACATACTGATTAAAAACTTCCTCCGACTATAAAAAAAATAATTTCTAATTTTTTCTAAAATTCCTGTGACTAAAGTTGAGTCTTTCTTAGAAAATTCCATTGAAATGAGCACATGTCCACTAACCGTGATAGTGAAGGAGTAAACAATGATTTACTCATAAGTGCTGATAAATTAATTAACAAATGTTTCTGCAGTTTAAATTTTTCTTTTTCGTTATTTTTTTGTGTGTGTGTGTGGGTGGGTAGATGTGTAGTGAGAGTGTGGGCTTGCACGCGCAGTAGAGGAAGGGCAGAAGATGCTCGACACTTTCACAGACAGTTCTCTCCTTCCACAGTGGGATCTGGTCACTGGGTTCAGGTCACTGGGTTTGTGCAGCAAGTGTTTCGACATACCGAGCCATCTCAATGTGATTCATCAGTGATGCCAAAGAACCAACTGGAAGATCTTTACCCAAATGGGCAAGGGAGAAGGCAGGAAGCCATTGTAGAACTTTAGGGATGCTCTGTAATAACTTGATAGCTCTTTTCCCTTTTTTTTTTTTTTTTTTTTTTTTTTTGGTTTTTCGAGACAGGGCTTCTCTGTGTAGCTTTGCGCCTCTCCTGGAACTCACTCGGTAGCCCAGGCTGGCCTCGAACTCACAGAGATCCGCCTGGCTCTGCCTCCCGAGTGCTGGGATTAAAGGCGTGCGCACCACCGCCCGGCTCTTTTCCATTTTCAACAGGTATACTTCATGAATTCAAATAAAGAAACATAATACTTTTTTTTTTCATTGCAAACGTTTTTAATGAAGTTGGATTAAAACAGAAAGGGGACAAAAAGTTATAAAAGGTATGGGTTTTAGAGACAAAATTTCTTAAGCACGATAGGCAATCAAAAGCTTCATTTTATTGTACTTGAATTCCAGGGCAGGAGGTGGGGACATTGTTTGGGGAGGGGACACAACCCCTCTGTTGTACTTGACCAGTTACCACATGCTACTATCCACAAGGAAGCCTCTAGGCCTGCAGGTACTGAAGACCCCCGAAGCCAGTGTTATTCAAAGCCAGAAAGCAGGTACATGGAAAAACCCCAGAGCTCCACACAGGTCACATCTCTGAGCTAAAAGCCCCTACTCCCACCCCACTCTCCCCACATGGCCCCAGAGTCTTGACTATGTCTTTAAGAAGCCCTCTTACCTCTTGGGTCCTCAACATCTCCACCTATAAAATAGGGAGGTGATCATACCCCCTCTTTCCCCTCCAGAAGTTCTGGTACGATTCCCGGAAGCCCCTGTCTGCAAGGCAGGTGGTAAAATGCAATCTGTATTAACATTGGGTCCAGTTTCTGAGACCTGAGACAGAATGAATAAATTGTGCTCCCTTGACAGCCCTGTCCTTCAGACCATCCACTTAGGTCACTTATTTCCAGTCCCCAACCTCCGTTTCAAACTCATTCCAGACTGAAGAGCTGTGACCAAGCATGAGGTTGATTCAGGCTGCCTTTACATTTTGTTTTGCTTTGTTTCTCAACCCAACGGTGGGTTTTGACGTGAGTATCATTTTATGTTGAAAGCAATCTCGTTGCTCTGTGGACATCTGAGACAGGAGATTAAAGCATCGTGAAACAGCGTCTGTCACATATTCATACACACGCACACACGTACACACCCCCTGCACTCAGGGGCTCGTCAAATGAGCATGTCCCTCACGTTTCCACCGTGCTTGAGCAATGAACCATTTAACCAAACTGGAAACAAAGCCCGCTGGCTGGCTTCAGAAATCTTTTCAACACCATCTCCAGCTTTATTAATGCTCCGTAGTTACGTTGGGGGAAGTTATTTCTTCTGAATTCACTGATGTAAATCTTGTATTGATTTTCTCCTGGAGTACAAAAACATTGATTGCTCTCTCCTCTTTTATTTTTAGAGGATACTTAGAAAAAGAAAACGTAAAGTTACAAAGTGAGGCTCATTCTTTCCTTGCCCCCACGTGCTACTCCTATTCTTTAAGAATAGCCCTCACCGCAAATGAATTCTCACTGTAGTTTTAGCAAGTTCTTCCTTGCTCACAAAATGATCCCTACCCAGAGACTTAAAGCAGGGGCTCTGGGTCTGATGGCCTAGACCTCCATCTTGATGTAACTTGGAGTCAAGCTTTGATTTTGCCACGCTGGAGTCTTTTTTTCTTTGATGTGTGGTGTGTGTAGTATGGTGTGTGTGTGTGTGTGTGTGTGTGTGTGTGTGGTATATGTATGTGTGTGGTATGTGTATGTGGTGTGTATGTGTGTAGATACATGCATGTGCCCATGCCTGTGGAGTTCAAGTTGACATCAAGTGTCTTTTTCAATGGCTCCCCACCAGTTTTTGAGACGAGTCTCTCATTGAACTTGGTCCTTGCTGATTCCACTAAACCAACTGGTCAGTAAGCTCCAGGAATCTGCCAGTGTCCACTCCACCAAACCCTAGTGCTGGCAATATACATGTTTGGCACTGTGCCTGACATTTTCACGGCTGCCTAGGATCCTAGCCCAGGCCTCCACGTTGGTGTACCAAGCACTTTACTGATTGAACCTTTTCCCTAGCCTCCTGCTTGACCCGAGAACCTAAAACCATCATGCTGTGGGGCTTTCAAGATTTGCTTGTTTTGTTTGTTTGTTGTTGTTGTTGTTGTTGTTGTTGTTGTTGTTGTTAAGGTATTTAGAATCTCCTTGTCTTCCAGCATCTAGTTCTCAAATGACAACTCACCTCCAGCCTTTTGGTCATGTTCTACCCCCTTCTTCCACCTCCCAAAATGTCACCAAGTCAGGGAGCAGTCCTCACTCCTTTGGTGTGTGACCTCCTAATGACCTTTCAGCTCTTTCATCTTGAGCACTGAATCTTCTGGGGAGCCCTTTGGACCCCCATACCAATAGACGTCATCATGACAGTGATACACAAATTATAGTCTTCTGCTGACTTTTCCATGTTCTCCTACAGTCTCTGAACGCCTCAGAAGGGATTCAGTCTTACTCTGCATCAGGCAATGCACCCGCCAGCAGGTCACCTGCCAGGTGAACAGAAGGGGGAGTGACAATGAGTGGTCACAGAGTGCCTTCTCAAAGCTGACCTGGGATTTGGATGGTCAAGAGTCCAAATGAGGGGGAAACTCAGAGAGATAAAAATGCAGGGTTGGGTGGATTTGGTAGCTGGAACCACTACACCCACCTGAAATGGGGTCAGTTTCCAGTTTATGTCTCACTCTGTTGAGCTCCCGTCTCCTTGTTATCTTGAGCTTTGAGAGGATAAGGAAGACTAGACATTATCACAATAAACACCCATCCAAGGCAACAGGAGGAGAGTACTGGGGTGACTGATATGGAGGTGAGCCCAGGCTGACGTAGGTATCTGTGCATCTGTTTGAGAAGATGAGTTGGACCTCCTGGGGTAGCTCACGCCAGGAGCTGTTTTCAGAAGCCTGAAGAGCCTGGGTGGGGAAGGAGGGCAGAAAGGCAGCAGTGTGCATTCCCGAGTGTGTGTCTGGAAGGAGGGTTCCTACATAGTGTGTGTTGTGTGTCCATGCACACGGTGCAGGTGGCTGCCCTAGCATATTTGCACTTATTATTGTCATACGCATTGGGACATCCTATCGCCCTCCAGCAAATATGTGTGTCCGGGAGTAGGTACCTGTGGGAATCCACAAGGGTCTTCCGTGGGGAGTGGAAAGTAAGTCCTCGAGCATTTGGAGTTTAAATCTATATTAATTGGACAACGGTTGTCTTTTGCAGGCTACTTGCTGGTCTAGCAAAAAGACTGTAGCATTACATCCATTTTCCTTTTGAAATACTAGGTCATCTATGATATTTAAAAAAAAAAAAAAAATCCAGAGCCCAGAACCAAATACTGCTTGTTTTGAAAAGTATGTGACAGAGGTTGCTGGGTTTCCTTTCCACAGAAAAACGTTGAGTTTCTCCTCACTTCAGACCTCAGCGTAAGAAAGAAACCCGGGGCCAAGCCTGCCCACCCAGGAGAGTCAGCCCAAAGCTCAGAGGCAGCAAAGCAAAGGGGAGAGATATGCCTGCCGGCATCACCCCCCCCACACACCCACCCACCCCCCAGGCCCCCCACATCAGGGCAGGCTAAACATGCAGAGGCTCCTGTCTCCAGGGTGGAGAGAGGCGCCCTCGTTAAAACTCAGATAAACAGTTTATCAGGAGATGAATGAACCACCGGGCTCCAGAGACGGCTCCCCTTCACCAGCGTGGAGCCAGATGGGGGGGGGGGGCACTGACGGAGGGAGCCAAGGGGCTGTCAGGCCGGGGCAAGCCAGTCAGTGCTCCTCTCCTCCTTTGGTCTTAAACGTTTTCTCTATTTTGGGAAGTGTGTCTCGAATGTACGGGCCTGCTTCCTCAGGCCAGCCCGCACTTCAAAGCCGTGTTCCCCTCCTTCTTCTCTGGCTCCTCTTCCTCTCCTGCTTTACAACTTCATTCCTCTAACTAGACTCCTGTCTGCAGTCGGACATCCATGATCACAACGCACTCAGAAGTTAAGCTGCGTCTCTCAGCCTTCACCAGGGCGGGTGGAGGGCTGATGCAGATGTAGCCAGGACTGCCTCAGCTCCCAGAAGACCACAGGAACACGCCGCTCCATCTGCTTGGCCAGAGGGAGGTGGGTTATGATACCTGTACCTTCAATCAAGTCAAGGGATATCGGCACCTCCTGGTAATCAAGAGAAGAAAACGGCAAGCATCTTAACCCTCTCACTCCCTCTCTCTGTGAAAATGTGTAGCTAGAGTTTTCCTGCCTGGCCCACAGTCAGGACAAATCTCTCTCACCCGCCAGTCCCACAGCCACTCAGACCGGACCAAGTAAACACAGAGACTTATATTGGTTACAAACTGTATGGCTGTGGCAGGCTTCTTGCTAACTGTTCTTACAGCTTAAATTAATCCATTTTATAAATCTATACCTTGCCACGTGGCTCGTGGCTTACCAGCATCTTCACATGCTGTTTGTCATCGTGGCGGCTGGCAGTGTCTCTCTGACTCAGCCTTCCACTTCCCAGCTTTATTCTCCTCCTTGTCCTGCCTATACTTCCTGCCTAGCCAATGGCCAATCAGTGATTTATTTACTGACCAATCAGCAACACACTTGACATACAGACCATCCCACAGCAAAAATGTGTCAGATATCACTTAGTGGGGCAGAATCCAAAGGTGATGACTGTCATGTGTCTGGGATGGTGCCAGACACAAAAGGTGGTCATTCTCATGCCTTCCCCTTTACGGTGTCTCACGGTCCTCTCGATTTCTGATGTCATAGATTGCGCTGGAGAAGTAAAGTGATTCACTGAAGGTCTCACAGCAGATTTTCAGACATCAAATCCTGCGTCCCTTGGACATCTTCCACAGCCGCCTCAGGCCTTCTCTTTCAGGACCACATGGAAGTAAGAAAACATGCATACAGTTCCCCCCAGGTCCTCTTTCTGTGACATGGACCTGTCCAAGCAATGGTTTGAAAGAATCCTTCAGTTCTTTGTCAGGAATACGTTGCAAGACATACAGCTGCCATGGGGACTGGCCAAGGCAGACCCACATTGTAGTTGTTGATTGGACTTCCTATAAAAGCTAGTGAAGCCCAGAGCTCCAGCCAGTCCAAATGCAATGACAGCCTGGTCAGGAGCTCAGCTGGCAGTCACTCCTCCCTGGGTGCACATCCCACTCACAGTTTCCTTTCAGAGAAATCCCTCCCCCTTTCTGTGGGCTGGTCAAGCTCCATCTTCAAGTGCCACAGAATCAACTAAATGGATCAGCTATGGGAGTACACCCAAGAAATTCTATTGCCTTTACTCCTGAAGATTGGCGACCCTGAAGGGGCGGCTCAACCATACACACTCAGAGCATGGGTGTTGGCCTTGACTTCCAGCAGCCTTCCAACCCTTTCAGTCCTCTCTTGTTCCAACCAGAGGGGGCTGATCAATGGAGGGCAGAGGGACTCTCCAAATGAACATCCACTGAAATACCACTCAGTACCCACTCAGCCCTAAGCACCCTGCTTATTGAGAGATCCTTGACCTGCTGTAGACAGGACCATTCTGACAGATGTGCAGTATCCTCACTTCACAGATGAGAAGGAAGCTGGCTGGGGCAAGGGTCACACGGCTGATGAGTGGCAGGACCAGGATTCCAACCTTGCTCCACTCGGTGCAGAAGTTATGTTTGTGTTGAACCTCCATAGATGTCGCAGCAATTCTTCCTCTACTCAGCATATCCCAAGATCCTTTGGCTCTCCCTCATCTAGTGTGGCTCCTTTTTCTTTCAGACTCGTAGCCTATGTCTGAAGTATCCTCTTCTCCCTCATCAGATGGCTACATCACTATCCTTTATCCAGACTAGCTAAAGTTCAGTTGTACCATTAAGATATTGGTCATGCTAGTCTCTAAGAGCAATGACCCGGAGTTAATTGGTACCTGAGTATATGGCTGCTCTCCAGTGTAGTGCAGAGCGGGGCTGCAGCCTCCCCAAGTGTGTGTGGCATTTCCCAACTCCACAAGTGTAGTTTGAGAACCCAATAACTCATATGATAATTGCCCTGATACTTTTTTAGTTCATCCTAATGCATTGTTAAATTCCAGGCAACCCTTAAAAAGGATCAGGAATTGTTACATTTATCGAAAGAAAGCACAGGCTAAAGAAACCGGTGGGCAACGCTAGTTGACAATTTTATGGTGATCTATGGATCTTTTCAATGTCCTTTAAGTACCTCCTTCCCATGCTTGTCATCTCTCCCCTCTGGGGACTGCAGACGTCTTGGCTGTGGGGTGGGGTCCCTGCTTAGTCACCTTCCATTTGTCTCTCCTTCTGATCTTCATGTGGTGGGTTCTCCATTCATAAGTGTTCCAATCCATCAGCAAGTGTGTTTGGGTTCCTGCTCCTTTCTTTGCTGTTCAGCCAAATCTATTCAGCCTGAATAGAGGACAGAAGGCTCTGGGTTGGTTTTTAAGCAAAAACAGGTGATTTGTGGCTGGAGAGGTGGCTGAGTGGTTAAGGGCATTGGTTGTCCTTCCAGAAAACCTGGGTTCAATTCCCAGCACCCACCTGCTGGCTCACAACTGTCTGTACTTCAAATTCCATGTGGGCAGCCATGGTATATAGACATGCATGCAGGCAAAACTCTCATACACACAAAACAAAATAATAATAAATTTAAAAAACACAAGTGATTTGACATTAAAATAAAACATGCACACAGATAATCTGAAAGAGAAAACAGCACAGTAAATGGTTGCTAGTTGGAACTTACCCTGTCTCAGGAGGATTGGACTGGAGTTTATCGTCTCAAGTCTTTACTGAAAAATTACTTTCTTAGTTAATTCGCAGCAGTGACAAAATTGCTCTGGAACATTTAATCTCATCAGACAACAAACCAATGCCAAACCACCATAAAACTTATCAAGTCAGGCGGTGGGTGGCGCATGCCTTTAATCCCAGCACTTGGGAGGCAGAGGCAGGTGGATCTCTGTGAGCTTGAGGCCAGCCTGGTCTACAGAACCAAGTTCCAGGACAGGCACCAAAACTACACAGAAAAATCCTGTCTCAAAAAACAAAAACAAAAAATAAAACAACAACAACAAAAAGCTTATCAAAAATCTGCAAGACAGCCACAAATTATTTGCAAACTAGACCATTCTTTTTTTAATTAGATTTATTCATTTTATTTTATGTATGAGTGTTTTGCCTGCATATATGTCTGTGCACCACATGCATGTTTGGTGTCCACAGAGGTCAGAAAAGGGTGTCAGATCCCCTGGAACTGGAGTTAGGGATGTCTGTGAGCCACCATGTGGATGCTGGGACCAGAACTGGGGTCCTCTGCAAAAGCAGTCAGTGCTCTTAGCCACTAAGCCATCCCTCCAACCCTAAGAACTACACCAATTTTTAAAAACCAATGATTGTTCACCATTTTTGTTTGTATGGGAGATAGGTTGGCCCAGAACTCGCTGTGTAGCCCAGGCTGGCCTCAAACTCATGGTTCTCTTTCCTCAGCCCCACAAGTGCTGGGATCACACCAGTCCCAAGAGGCCATTTTTGTTTCCAGCAGTTATTAAAGCAAGACCTCATTGTAGACAGAACCCAGGGGGTCTAATTCTACTAATCTAGACGTCACAATTGAGGGAAGTGTTTGCACCTGAAACTGGCCAACCCTCTCTACCGCTAACGTCGTACAGAAAGGTCATACAACAAAGTGCTTTCCTCCTTAGAGGGTTCAAAGGAAAACTGTGTCTTTGGGGGTTTTTTGAGGCATGATGCCGAGACATCCCAGCTCCCACTCCTGGTGAATTCCGGAGCCACTCATTCTAAGTGTCTCTCCTCCATGTCCTTCCAGACTCCAAACCCATCACCATAAAGGAATTGAGTTGGATCTTGATCCAGCTCTTCATCCAAAATAAAAATGGTGGGAGGTGTCACTTCAGCTCCCATTTCCCATCAAAGGAATAATACTTTCTTTTCAATAAGCAGTGACCCTTGGATGGGAAAGGGGAGGTGAATTTGGATTAGTGATCTAAGTCAGTGTCTTAGAACTACAAGGCGGTAGAGCTCAAAATGACATGCTATCAGGTCATTAATCCAAAGACTAAAGCGAACAGTCCACACAAGTGACTTCCTTCCAAGGTCATCATAGATGTGCCAAGGTAGACGACATCCAAAACTCGGGTTCCTTTCCTTCTAGTACATTTCTGCTTTTCTAGCACCTCTCGGCCCAATGAGGCCATTTACCCCAGCCAGATGGTGCAAACCCACGTTCTTGTGGAATCTGAGTACCTTGGAGAAAAATCTCAGGACGTTTGTTCACACTAACGGCCTGGAGATCTTAAGAGAAAACATCCAGAATCATACAGTACTAGTCAATACACACAAAAACGGCACAGACACAGAATTTGAAATTGAGGCAGGCAGAGTGGGCTGCCTACAAACCCACCCAGCCTACACACCACCCCCAAGCCAGCACCAGGTGCAGGGAACACAAAGGACCAGCAGAGGGCGCGCCGCCCCCAGGGAGGCGAGAGCTAGTTGTACCGAGCTGTGAGGGTTAGGGGAGCAACATGCCAGGAGGATGCACCCCTATCTCTCCGCCACTCGTCGTGCGGGACCGGGCCAAGGAGGAGGATGAGAAGACCACCACCCCCTCTACGTGGGCCTGAGGAGCAGAAGAGCAGGAATGCTGCCTAGGAATTGCATCACGCTGTGCAACACTGCGGCTCTTGGACTCACTGTGTGTGTGTGTGTGTGTGTGTGTGTGTGTGTGTGTGTGTGTGTGTGTGTGTGTGTGTGTGTGTGTATTTGGGGGGAGGGGATTTAAACCAAGCCCCAGCCGAGAGAGAGGGAAAAAAAGAGACGCACCAGGGAAAACGTTCCATGCACATGGAGAAATTTCTTGCTGAGAACTGCATTGAGAAACGAACCCAGACATCTCCCCGCTGCTTCCCTCCCGGTGCAAAGCACTCAGCTAGTGAGAGTCCCCTAGCCTCACCTCGACAACCCCACACCCCTTAACTCCAGCCCTGCACCCTCCAGCCTGGCTCCAGCGCCGCCGAGAGCTTTCCCCGGGACTGGCCCTGGCGGGGCGCCTAGAGCCCCATTGCATTGCTCCAGGAGAAAGGAGGGGGGCGGTGCATTTTGCAGGAGGAGGAGAACCGGGGTGGGGGGGGGGGAGAAAATTGCGCGGAGACCTGCCAAGCGCCACCGCCGCCGCCGCCACCGCCGCTGCCGCGCCGCCGCCGCCGCCGCCGCCTGTGAGCTCCGGCGGGCAGCCCGACTGTCGGCTTCCCGGGGCATCTGGGTCCGGCGGGGCACAGCCCTGGGCGCTGCCGGAGCCGCCGCCGCCGCCGCCGCCTTCGCGGCCAGTGCAGTCGCTCCCCCCACCCCCCCACGAGCCCGTGCGGCTCCGGCTCCTCGCGGGTGGAGGAGTGGGGGGGTGGGGTTGTTGTTTGGGGGGAAGAAGGGGGAGGGGGCAACGCGGAGAGAGTCAGTGGTTTCCATGGTGATGGAGCTGAAAGTGCAGGAAATTTAAAGGCTTGGACCCTGCGAGACAGACAAACCGGTGCCAACGTGCGCGGACGCCGCCGCCGCCGCCGCCGCCACCGCCGCTGGAGTCCGCCGGGCAGAGCCGGCTGCGCAGCCCGTAGCAGGCGGAGGGAAGTGGCCCAGGACCCGCTCGACCCGCGGCGCCGCACAGAGAGGCAGGACGCCGAGCGGCCGGAGGAGGAGGAGGAGGAGGGAAGAGGCTCGTCCACGCGCCCTGCGCCGCCGGCCGCCCGGGAGAGCAGCGAGGAGCCGGCGCCCCCAGCGCCCCACGGTCGCGCTGGAGTAATCTCGGATGCCCGGCCGCGGTCGCCTTCCCAAGTAGAGCGGCGGGGGGGAGTTGCGACCAACTCGTGCGCGTCTTCTGCGCCGCGGCGGGAGCCGGCGCTGCGCGACCCGCTCTCCTCGCGGCTCATGCTGCCCGCCTTGCGCCTGCCCAGCCTCGGGTGAGCCGCCTCCGGAGGGACCGGGGAGCGCGGCAGCGCCGCGGGCTCGGCGTGCTCTCCTCCGGGGACGCGGGACGAAGAGGCAGCCCCGGGGCGCGCGCGGGAGGCATGGAGCGCTGCCCCAGCCTGGGGGTCACCCTCTACGCCCTGGTGGTGGTCCTGGGACTGAGGGCAGCACCGGCCGGCGGCCAGCACTATCTGCACATCCGCCCGGCGCCCAGCGACAACCTGCCCCTGGTGGACCTCATCGAACACCCAGACCCTATCTTTGACCCTAAGGAGAAGGATCTGAACGAGACGCTGCTGCGCTCGCTGCTCGGGGGTCACTACGACCCGGGCTTCATGGCCACTTCGCCCCCCGAGGATCGGCCCGGAGGGGGCGGGGGACCGGCTGGGGGTGCCGAGGACCTGGCGGAGCTGGACCAGCTGCTGCGGCAGAGGCCGTCGGGGGCCATGCCGAGCGAGATCAAAGGGCTGGAGTTCTCCGAGGGCTTGGCCCAAGGCAAGAAGCAGCGCCTGAGCAAGAAGCTGAGGAGGAAGTTACAGATGTGGCTGTGGTCACAAACCTTCTGCCCGGTGCTGTACGCGTGGAACGACCTGGGCAGCCGCTTTTGGCCGCGCTACGTGAAGGTGGGCAGCTGCTTCAGCAAGCGCTCGTGCTCTGTGCCCGAGGGCATGGTGTGTAAGCCGTCCAAGTCTGTGCACCTCACGGTGCTGCGGTGGCGCTGTCAGCGGCGCGGGGGTCAGCGCTGCGGCTGGATTCCCATCCAGTACCCCATCATTTCCGAGTGTAAGTGTTCCTGCTAGAACTCGGGGGCCCCCTGCCCGCGCCCAGACACTTGATGGATCCCTACCAACGGCCCCCCACAGCCTCCAACCAGTTTCACCACCCTCTAGCGAGGGTTTTCAATGAACTTTTTTTTTTCTTCTTGGCTACAGAGACTCGGCTTTCTGGTTCATGTAATGCACTGTTTAACTGTGTAGGAATGTATATGTGTGTGTATATACGGTCCCAGTTTTAATTTACTTATTAAAAGGTCAGTATTATACGTCAAAAGTTACCGGCTTCTACTGTATTTAAAAAAAAAAAGCAAGCAAAAGGAAAAAAAAAAGAGCAGAGAAAAGAGAGACTTATTCTGGTTGTTGGTAATAATGTTAACCTGCTATTTATATCCCAGTGCCCTTCGCATGGCGAAGCAGGGGGGGAAAGTTATTTTTTCTTAAAAGTACAAAGAGAGGGGGAACTTTTGTAGAAGGACTTTTTAAAAAAGCTATTTTCCATTCTTCGGAAAGTGTTTTGATTTTCCTTAGACCTCGAAGAAGCTATAGAGTTCAATGTTATTTTACAGTTATTGTAAATATAGAGAACAAATGGAATGACTAATCATTGTAAATTAAGAGTATCTGCTATTTATTCTTTATAATATCCCGTGTAGTAAATAAGAAAGAAGTGCAGAACAGGATTAAAGAAAACCACTAAAACCGACTGGGCTCGACACTGTGATTCACTGTGTTGGTGATTGATGGGGGGTGGGGGGTGCCGCCGCGCTTACTATTCCTATTGGGAGACAAGCTCATCGTTCAGGACTCCCCTCCTGTGGGGTGATGAAGGTGACTGTAAAATTTTCAGTGGGGGTGGGTGTTATTCTCAAACCCTATCTTTTAAGTATCATGTGGCCTCCACCGAGTCTCCCTGGGTACCCTCCCCCGTGACACCAAAGCTCAGGCCTGTAGTGACCTCGACACCCCAGCCGGCCCCCTGGAGCTGACCCCGGGCTGGGCCGATGAGGGAGGGAGGGAGGGGGGCGGCTGCTTTGTCCAGGCTGACAGGCCCTTCACAATGGGGACACGTGTCTTTCACACCTTCCCTGGGGGCGGAGTACCGCTGAAACTTGACCCCCGAGGAATGGGGGGGGGTCAGAGCAGGCCCACCCAGATCCCGCCACCCCTCCCTCCTTGCACCCCCACCACAATATCCAGCCCTTGTTAACCCTTTGCATGCCCGGAAACCACGGTGGTTGGTGCTAAAGCGACCCCTTGAATTCAACTACATAGAACCTTGGGGATCCTGCAGGTCTGGAGCCCCCACATCCCAGGCCCACAGCTGACGTGGGAGAGATAATTTGGATATTTGACACTCACCTGGGCCTTCTCCAGGACCTAAGGAAGACTGAGGTCCCGAATTTCAGAGGGGTGTGAATTTGAGTATGAGTCATTACCTCTGGGATCTGCAATTGGGGGGGGAGGGGACACACGACCCCTCCCTGGCACTTACTCCATTTGGGGGTTGAGAAGGGAGGAGAAATCAGAATGGGATCTTTGCGCTTTAGAATTAGATAGAGGCAAATTTACCCCTTAAAGATTCGGGCAAATATCACTGCACCCCACCCCTTGAAAATCCAACTTCTTGGGACCGACTCTGGACTCTTGCGTGCATCCCTCCGCCTCAGTCCCCAGTGGCGCCCATCCACACAGCTCCACGTGGGCCGGCTTCCTGACACCGCTCCCCGCTCCTTTTATTTATCTTGGACTCCACAGTCGCTCTCCTTTGCTCCCTTCCCCACCCCCTTGCCACCTCGTCGCGCCTCCCTCCGGGCCTCGGGTCCTCCGTCCCTCCTCCCCCCCCCCGTCCCTCCTCCCCCCCCCCGTCCCGCCCCCCCCCCCCCAGTCCAGAGTCGCAGCGAATCTATGCTAATTATTTCAAACCTGCGCCCGGGTCCCCAGCTCAGACTCAAAGCCCCGGGCCCCGCCCTCCCTGTCCCTCCAGCCCGGCGCTTTCTTCCCTCCCGACGCAGCCTCGGTGGCTCCTCATTTCAATAGCCTGGCCCGGGAGCCGGAGCCCCCTCCCCGGCGCTGCCTCCGTCAGTCGTGGGACAGACGTTAGGGTATTCATTAACTGGGAGCCGAGGAATAACGGCATTATTCCCCCCAGAGAGGGCACCCTGCCCCCGCGACTATCTGAGGCTTCATTGTAAAAGGATTAAAAGTTAAAGACCTCCATCTTATGATTCTTTCATTTAATCTTTCTGGCGCCTGGGAGACATGCTCGATGGATGATGGCTTTTAAAATATTCCTAATGTCGGCTACCTTAAGACTCCAAGCCGGGCAAACAAACGTAATTTATTTCCAGAAGAAAGAGGATATTGAGATGTTTAAGTTTATGAACCGCCTTCCCCATGTATATTTGTTAAGTTCTGACAAATACCCAAATAACGTTAAAATCAGCCATTCATCACTTATGAATTTATGCAAAACTTTCTGTGCCCCGGGCCAATATTTTTGTAGACAGAGTTTCACTTGCGAGGGGCGGAGGAGGTAGGGAGGAGGGACGAGGAGGGGGCTTGGGTCGGGGGTTGGGGGGGGGCAAAGCAAGAATTTTCATGCCTGGTAAACACGCGAATTATGCGAAGAGAGTTATTCCCAGCTGGGCGGGCAGCCAAAACTCGGAGAGCGCGCGGAGGCCAGCGCCCCCACCCCCACGTTGGTAATGTCATTGGATTACAATGCGAGGTCTTCCCTCCGCGACGCCCCCTCCTCCCGCCGCGGGCCCGCCCGCCCGCCCGCACCCCTCCTCCCCACCCCTGCCCACTTGGAAAACCCGCTCGCAGCCGGCGAGCTTCTCGGCTTTCAGAGCCAGGAGCCAGGGTGAGCTGGGAGGACCCGGGCTGCAGACGTGACGGGCCACAGACCACCGCACTGACAGACCCGGAGGGCTGGCGCAAGGAGGCTCACAGAGAACGCGCACAGAGAACCCTGCAGGCCGCAGGCGGTCCCAGAAGAAGAAGGCAGGAGGCGCTGGTCCTGGAAGGAACGTGTGTGTGCCTGAAGATGCACGGCCCTGGCCGCTCTCTCCTATTATGATTAGTATGGATACTATAATGCTAAGGGAGAGAGCTGTACGCAAAGAGGCGATGTCCCCGCGGTCACCTACTGCCTGTCTCCTGGGAGGAGGAAAACTGATCTAGGAGTCCTCTTTGGCTGTGGAAGTCTGTGTCTATGAACTGATGCAGCTGCTGAGGGACCGTGTCTTTCCCCATGGAGATTTATAGCTATCACAGACACATTGCCTTTGACAAACCCAGTACCCACCAGAGTACAGAGGGTCGGAGTAACCCAGCACTCCCACCAGTATTGTGAGGGTTCCTTCTCTTTCTCAATTGCTTCCCTTATTTCCTGCCACCCTTTCAACACCTAGCCACCCTCCACACTCAAGGAAACTGAGGTCAAATGTCCACGGAAGGCCCCACGGCCCCCAGAGTCTGGGAACGGGATCTGGCTCCCTGTTGAGACAGAGAAGCCGGAGGTCCATTATCAGTCTTGCTTGAGACTCCTGGGAAAGGGGGTTGAAGCTTGGTGGCAGCTGCAGGAGGAAGCTGGCTGTGTATTAAGAGCTCTTAGCTGTGCTAGAAGGGGACAGCAGGGGGAGGGCCCAGCCCATATTGGTATTTTGAAGGGGGTGATTCATCCTTTTTCTTTAATGCTCTTGGAATGTCAGGGCTGGAGGGGAGCTTAGATTCCATTACCCACCATTCAATTTGCTGATGAGAAGAGTCCTCAGCAGCCGCTTGCTGACATCACATAGACTAATACCCTTCCTTGGCTTTGACTAGCCTCTCTCTCTCTCTCTCTCTCTCCTTCCTTTTTCCTTGTTCTTTAAGAAAATTTATTGGTGGGAAAGAGTTCCCAGATGACACCATCCCAGAGGCTCCTCAAGCTGGCTGGCTGATCTGTCGTACCCATTCGGCAGGCATACATTAAGAGCTTGTCTGAGACCAAGCACTGAGCTAGACCCTTTGGGCCTGTTCTCACCTGAGCCCTCTCATTTCCAAATAAGGAAGGCGAAGCTCAGAGAATTTAAATGTCTTGCCCAAGACCACACAGTGATACAGTTAGGGTTCAAAACCCAAGTCATCACCAAAGCCTATGCCTCTCCTTGAGAGTTCTTTCCTCCAAGGACTTGAGCACCCACCTTGGGAAATAGTGTGTGCCACTCCACGTACAAGTCAGCCTCAATGCAGGCAGTTTGTGCATCCATTTACATGCCGTTTTCCCATCCCACGCAATGTAATAGGGGATGAGAAATGAGTGAGACCCGGCACAATGGAAGAGGATTCACACCATCAAGGGGAAAGGCCAGAGGGGAAGGTTCACGGGTGAAGAGCACAGCCAGGAAAGGTGTCTGACTAAAGTCTCAGTAAGCAAGTTTACTGAACGAGATCAGGAGAGAAAAAGGGCATTTGGACTGAGAAAGCAGAATACATAAGTGAAAGAACAGTGTTGGAGAAGTATCTGTGTGTTTGGGAAATAGCTCAAACTTTAGCATAGGCTGGATTCATGCCGAGAGAGCAGGCAATAAAGTCAGAAAAGCAGGCTGAAGCCAGATGAGGGAGGACTGTGAATGCCAGCTACAAGCCCCAAACCTTATTTCTCAAGCGATAGGGAGAGCCCTTAAATAGGGCAGAGATACCACTTGAACCTCACAGCAAGAGGAACCATTTATTCATTCAGTCAACATTTGGGGTGCACTATTCTGGTTATGTGTTAGTATATACAACAAGCAACCTCAAAATCAAGTCTTAAAATAACCAGTTAGCTTTGCTCATGGTTCTCTAAGTTACGAGAGTTTACCCATGATACTCAGGGTGTCAGCTGAGCACTGGCAGATTGACTCTCAAAAGGGCAATTTCGCACCCGGCTGTGAGCCAGCTCAACCAGCATGCTGACCAGAGCCCCCACACCAGCTTCTCCATGTGCTTTGGGTTTTCTCACAGCATAATGGCTTCAGGACAGCTGGACACACTTGGCAGCTCATGGCTCTGAGAGAAAGTGTCTCCAGAGGCTCAGACGGTGACGGCAAGGCATCTTCTAACTGTCAGGAAAGTCTTGTGACACCATTTCCAGCTTAGTCTACTGGTTAAGCAAGTCTCTCAGACCAGCCCAGTCGCAAGGGGAAGGACACCAACCACTACCTCTCCATGGCAGAGCAGGGACAAATTGTGGTTGTGGTAAGCCACTTTCGTTAAGCACTGCCCTAGGCAAGAGCTGTTGAGTTTCCCCAGACCCAAACACAAAAAGAGTCATTTCTAATTGAAGTCTGGCACCATTTGCCAAGAGGGATGGGAGATGGTGACAGTGGCTGCTTGGAAGACTGGCTATGGAGGACCTGGCTGAGGCCCGTGCTTCAGGAGCACCAGGGTCAATGAACATAGACCTTGTTGGCCAGAAGGCTGGAGAGGACTTGGTGACAGATGTTTGAAGAGTTGATGGCGGTGTCTGGGTGGCTGCTGATTTTTCAGCCTGCAAGGGACCAGGCACAAGAGGGGATCTCAGAGGTTTGCACTCTGGCCTTCTTCTGCCCTGTCCCACTCTGTGAACAGTGCATGGCATTGGGAAGTTGTTCAGTAAACACTAGGCAGAAGGAAATGAGCAGGGGTCCGTGGGAGGCCATGGTGAGATGTTCAGCAAGAGATGAGGTAGGAAGTATCTTCTGAATTTAAATTTGCATAAAACAAAGAAAACGGTAAAAGTGCTGAATGGAAGACAGAGAGACAGCCCCGTGATTAGAAAGAAAAGGGTGCCCATCTGATCCAAGATGTGTGGATAGTGTGGCTGCCAAGGAGACTATTAATACCACCCAACAGAAAATTGTGAAGTTACTTAACATGTTGAGTCTTTTTTGGAGCAGTGGTACATAGTTCTCAAGCATAGACTTTACATATGACAACATTGTATCACAACATCAGAAGGCTAGACACCCCTGGAAGGGAAGCAAAAGTTGGCTCCAGCCTACATTTTTGATAAAGTACTGATTTGCTGGCATTGGGAACAAATTATCTCCTTTAAATAACATAAGCCCTTTGTCTGGCTACAGAGCCCACCTCTCTCTATTGGGTGTGTCAATCATTTTAGTGCCTACTGAGACTATTGTAAGCATCTGAAGTTGGGACCTTTTTATTAAAGGGGACTTAAAGTCAAAATTATTTTGATTCTTTTGAAATGAGGGGGGAATAGAGACCATACATAGGACTTGGAAAGGGGATCCAGGTTTGGAGGAAACATTATCGAATTACAGAATTTCTTAGGGGATGTCCTGAAACTTCTCTCTACCCTTCATCTCATGTAGAAACTAAGGCTTATCAAGGTCAGTGGAAGGGTCTTACTTCTAGACACTTGGGATCAGAACTGGCAGTAGAGGCAACATATCCAGATTTCCAAGTCAACCCTCTTTTTGAAGTCATTGTCAATGTACATGGCATCAGGCTCCTTCAACTAATTCTTAAATGTATGTGCATGTGCATGTGCCATATGACTGCAGTGCCTGAGGAGGCCAGTAGGAGGCATCAGATCCCCTAGAACTGGAGTCACAGGCAATGATGAGAATTCCCATGTAGATGCTGGGAACTGAACCAGTCTGCTTCAAGAACAGCCAGTGCTGTCGATCACCAAGTCAGCTCTCCGGTCCCACAGTGTTAGAATTTCAAATGCATGGTTTTAGGTGGAATGAGACAGAAGGACTCCTAAGTCCAGGAAACAGGTCTGCCCTAGCTCAGAGCCTGACCAAAGCAGCGAATATGAACAGGGGAGACTGTGCAAATCCCCAATTCATAGGAACCAGGGTAGATGCCAGAGCATGTGGGCAGCAGACAGGGCAATTACTGAACTCTTCCCTGAGTGATGGAGGCTGTTGAACTTGTGTCCTCTGCTCTGGAATATCTAGCTGCTGCTATTCCCTGGAGCCGAGGCCCAGAAGTCAACCCTACATCAGCAGACACTCGGCCAATCTGTGCAAGGTGAATTAGGAAGACAGTGGGAGTGGACCCCTGCTTGCAACAAAGGCCCCGTAGTCACTAGCTTTGACCACTGCTTCCAGCCAATGCTGCAAAGGACTCCCAACTGTTACTGAATGTATTCAGTGAAGGAAACAAAATGAGTCAGGCAAGGGAAATAGTCTTCCCCATTTTACAGATTTCAAAACCTACGGCAACAGGAAGTCTAGGAGACTCCCAAGATCCAGCTGCCAGTTGAGGGCGGAGGCAGGAGTCCAGTGGTGCACAGTCTCTAAGCTGGCTGCTGCAGAGGCGGGGGCTCAGAGCTCCCTGAGTTTCTAATTCTAACTGTGCTCTCTCCTTCCATATTCACCCCAGCTCCAATCCATTCTCCACGCTAGAGGCTGAGTGACCTTAAGACACACATGTGGTCTTGTCACTCCCCTGCTTGAAACCTCTCAAAGGCTTCCCATTGCTGTAGGATAAAGGGCAGAATTCTTCCCAGACTGAGCCCTCTCCTCCCTGCCTCTGGATTCCATCTATACAGGAGTCTCCCTATCCCCACAGGTTCCAGGGCCTTTGCACATGCCATAGCCTTTTTCTGGGGTGCCTTCCTATGCCACCAGAATCCCTAAATACCACTATCCTTCAGACCTCATTCCTGGGGATGGTACAGACCAGGTCTCTTCTACTCCATGCTGTCTCAACTGTCTGCTTTTTCTTCATAAGACACACCAGACTCTGTGGCTGGTACTGTCATACATTGTTTAAATGGGACACATTATGAGAACTGTCTCGTTATGTGATTTTTTTTTTTTGCTATTATGTGACCATCATAGAATGTACTTACACAAATCCAGGTTCAACTGTGTATGTAATCTTTTGACATTATGACACAACATTGCCATATGCAAAGTTCATACTCAAGAACTATACAGTAAAAAAGTAAATAAATAAAAAATAAAAAACCAAGTTGTGGGGCTGGGAGGAGCTCGTTTGTCTCAGTTAGTAGAGTGTTTGCCTAGCCTGTAAGAAGTCTGGAGTCCCATAAACCATGCAGAGTGGTACATTCCTGTAATTCCAGCACTTGGGAAGTAGAGGTAGGAGGATCCAAAGATCAAGATTGGGGGCAGAAGAGATGGCTCAGAAGTTAAGAATAGGTGTTGCTCTTGCAGAGGACCAGGGTTCAGTTCCCAGCACCCCCATGGTGACTAACAACAGTCTATAACTAGGGTTCCAGGAGATCCAACACCCTCATGCAGGTTTCCATA